CCACATGTTGAGAACCGCTGGTCTACAGCATTCCATTGTCCTCAGGGACTAAAATCTCGGGGGCCATCTGTGGCAGGATGGGGGGTTTCTGTGTTTACACTACGTACTTGCTTATTGTTTGAAAAAATACATGTGGAGCCCGGCAGTTAGGGCTCAGTGGGTGAGCTTTGACCTATGAACCTAGAGGTCACAGTTCAATTCCCGGTCAGGGCATATGCACCGGCTGTGGGCTCGACCCCCAGTGCGGGGCATGCAGTAGGGAGCCGATCGATGATTCTCTCTCATCTTTGGTGTTTCTATCTCTCGTGCCCTCTCCCTTCCTCTCTGAAATCAATGAAGAAATATATTAAAAAAATAAAGCAGCACTACTCTGTGATAATGGTAGTATGGCAAATGTGGCGTTAAAACTTTAAAGGACATAAGTGTATGTATTTTTTAAAGAAAGTCATTATCTTCTAGAGAGACAGTCTGAAGTGAATGAAACACCTGTGGTTTACTTCAGCATCCATGAGAGGAAAAAGGGGAGAGAATAGTTGTGGATGCTGGTCATTGGGTACACTGCTGTGTAAACAATTCTCTCTTCTAAGTATGCTTGGCACTTCCTACAATAAAACACAGTAGTATTATCCAATTGTAACATCTATTTTATTAAATCCCAGGGTTTTGTTTTTGATCTGGCAAAAGCCAATAGGTTCATTAGTTATCATTTGTGCCTACAGCTCACATTTATCTAAGGGTTTAAACTTTAAAAGGACATACACATGCACACACACAACCTGTCTCCAAAAGTGCCTATACTTGTAATCTAAATAAAATGTACAGCCCTAAGACTTCAACTAAGTATCAATTTTGAAAAATCAACCTTTCCACAGAAAATTAAAACTTATAAAAGACATAATTGCTCAAATTACCCAAATATACTCAAGCTACATTTTCATATCATTTTCAGTTGCTTAAGCAAATAAAACACTCAAAATTAAATGCCCAAATTGCAAAATCTCTCAGCTGGCTATTTTTCCTAACTTACCCATATAAGTAATCATTTTATTAATAATTAATAAATCTGTGAAATTTTACCAAAAGCAAACTTATCTCCAGTAAACTGAACAAAGAAGAGACCTCAAAAGTTTTTAACTTTTAAAACCTTGGAAGGCCAAATATGATTCCCATTTCCATAACCTGTTCTCAAGCCAAACCCTTTTTTCTCACGTTCACCTCAGCTAGCTTAACAACACCTAAGTGGCTGGGTTGGTTCTGTCTTAGGTAACCACTGAGCAACCTGAAGTCGGAGACCATTTTCTAAAGAGATAACTTCATACTAGTACATTTACTGAAACCACAGCAACCGGTCAGTACCATTAAGGAGTTATAGCTTGAAGATGGTGAAAATGGGGTACTTACAGGTTTCTGAATGTTGGTCCTTTGTCAAATCTTAAGGTAAATTTTCAGAGACCTGGGCAAACACGGATGAAGGTGTTTTCAAAATCCTTTCAGAGGCAGATCTCAGAGGAGAAAAGGAGTGGCTGGCCCTAGAACACACAGCCTGAGAACCTTCCTCCCGCAGAACAGGGAAGGCATTACACACCTACACAATGGAATACTAAGCAGCGGTAAAAAAGAAGGAATTCTTACCATTTGCAACAGCATGGATGGAACTGGAGAGCATTATGCTAAGTGAAATAGGCCAGTCAGAGAAAGATAAATATCACATGATCTCACTCATTTGTAGAATATAATGAACAACATAAACTAATGAACAAAAACAGATCCAGAGACAGAGAAGCATCAATCAGACCGTCAAACCTCAGAGGGAAGGTAGGGGAGGGTGGGGGTAAGGGAGAGAGATCAACCAAAGGACTTCTATGCTAGCATACAGACCTAACCAATGGACACAGACAACAGGGGGGTGAGGGCATGGGGGGGGGGGGGGGATAATGGGGATAAGGACACATATGTAATAATCAATAAAAAAACATTTTTTTTAAATACACACTTCCTTTTAGGTGTTCCAACAAACCTGGAAGTCTGACTATAGTTAACATAAACCTTCCTGTGAGTAACTTCCAAGAAATAGAATCAAACGAACTATGCAAAATAAAGACTACTGAGAAACAAATACACATACCTGGGCCAGATCCTTCATTCACTGCAGTTTATTTCCTCTCCTCAGAAATAGATTTAACTTTAATAATAAAATAATTTGTGGGTTACCACGTACAGTCAAAACCTCGGTTCTGGAACACCTCCCATCTCAAATAATTGGGTTCTCGACTAAGTTGTTCACAGAATATCTGGATTGTCGAATAAAACTTTGGTTCCAACCCAACAACCCTTTCAACACATGATCAATCATGTGTCTCTCAGGCGACAAAGGAGAGAATGCGTGAGTGTGAGTCAGTTTATGGCTAACACTCGAGTTAACATCTCAGGAAATTGTGCTGTGAAGTTTCATGTGTTTTTGCTTATAGTGGTCTGAAACAGATTGATTCGATTTACATTATTTCTAATGGGGGAAAATGATTTGGTGTTCAAACAAATTGCTTCCTGAATAGTCTTCCAGAATGAATTAAGTTTGAGAACTGAGGTTCCACTGTATAAGAGAATAAAGTGGCTGAAGAGTCAGTTTGTTCCAATACTCAACACAAAACTCCGATAAGGGTCATATCCAGGGCTATGACAAATGGTGGCTTATTGAAGAAAAATCTTTAATCTTCAACATAATTCCTACTTAATTTGTCAAATTATATGTTCACTGTTCAAATTGTATTGTTTTAACAAAATTAGTAATTCCATCTATTCCTGCTTAATAACACAGAAGAGTTCTACAAACTGCATCCAAGGGTACCACTGAGTCCTCTTGAGTCAAATACAAGTGTGCTTTGGCAGTGCAGTGTATGTTGGTACATAAAACAAACAATGCACACTTTAGAGACAAGAAATATGATTTTCCCCTTAAGTAACAGTAGTCAATAAATATAAACCTAATATTTCTATTTCATTTTTTATTCATTTTTTTCTGGTAGACAGTACACTTGGGAATTATACTGCACCAGGCATAAGAAGATTTCTACCACAGGGACATTTTGTATTCAGAATCCAATATAAATATTTCTAGTCAGACATTTCCATGGCTACAGATATTTGGTTGCTTGATTTATATGCATAGAAAGAAACAGTTGTCATAACTGTAAAAAGCAGTACTTAACAAGTACTTTTAAATGATTGGAACAGTTTTTTTTAATATTACAATACTGCTTATTGGTGTGGAAACTAGGTCACCCTACATGATGTTTTGATTTTTGTCAAAAGCATCAGGAGTACTCACTTTGTTTATTCTTTCATTCCTATATTTTTGAGCCTCTAGTTGAGTTAGGGACCATTAATCAGAAATCATTTTAGCACTGTAATAAAAAAAAAAAGCCTGTTAAGGGTTTATATACCATAATAATTTTCAGACTTCTTTTTATAAAAAAGTTATCTGGAGGCTCTGAACAGGCACATGCATACTCAGGGTGAAGGGAATGAACATAGAGGAATCCACTAAAGCACAAAACTTCCTTCTGCTCCTCAATGCCTTCAAATAAATACCAAAAACACTTTTTTTAAATCCCACCAAAAAAAAAAATCAGTCGCCAGTCTCTTTCATCTCCTGGAGAGTCGGTGTCCAGGAACTCCCCGGGATGGAGCTCAATCGTCTGTCTTCCGGGCCAGCCTACAGAAAGTCCAGTTGTGCTCCACTGTGTTCTCATTGGCCCGCTCACTCATGTGATGCACCCGGGTGTTGCGGATCGTGAAGCCTTGTTTTGTGATGTATTCCATCAGGTGGACCCGGAGAGACACCTCCTGGTGATAATCACAGGGTCCAAAGGTGAAGGAGACCTGGCAGTCTCTGGTGTCCATCATGTGCTTATTCCACTTGGTAAAATAGTTTGAGATGCCTTCTAAGAGGGAATGGACCTTGGTGGTGATGGTTAGCTGGGTGATGATGACAGCTACTGGGTTGGAGTACTTAGAAAGCTTCCGAGTGCTGGATAATTCCACCACTTCTTCAAAAGTATCCATAGGATACAAAGGCTTAGGGTCATTGAGACACTGAATCAAGGGCTCAATCTGATAAAAGTCTGCTTCTTTTCGAAGCAGATCGAACTCCTTAAAATCCAGGGGTAAGGTCAACTCTGAAGTTCTTAAGAAGTTGAGGACATATCTGAAAAGAGGTCCATCTCGATCAATGAAGTAATTGCCTTGAGGGTCTCGAGCTGTGGGGAAGTCCCCCCCAAACATAGCTCCAAGCATGGAATCCGGGTATCGAGTCAATGTGGTGAGAGACGTTGTGTACAAGTGTCCACCTACATTTAACGTGACTGGGTCAGTCATCTGAAATTTTGTAAAAAATGATTAGTCACCTGAAATTTTTAAAATCCTAACTTTGACATATTAAGAAAAATGGTAACAAGCAAAGCAAAAGATTCGTTCCAGCTATGAGTATTTAGCAATCTATTCTGCAAAACAGCTTTACTTTCAGTGATAAACCCTTCTGGATGCAGGGATCTAACATATGCTTTCAATAGGGGATAACTCTATTTCTTTAAAGACATATGTACTAAGAAACAAAGGCATCACTTCCAAAGCCATTTAATTTCAGCCCCGGTATCTAAAGAGAAGTTTGTGAGAGTAT